TAAAATATTTTTTATTACCCGATTCGTTTTTTCTAACTTCATCTAATTAACAATCTTTTATTTTGATATTTATATTTTAATTTAGAGGAGTCTTTCAATTAATTGGTTATTTTTCTTCTCTTAACGGACTAATCAAATACTGTTCTTCGTTATATTGATTGATCAAATCAACTTCGCCTAATTAATTAGTCTTTATTTGATTGGTACACTATTTGAGTGGTATGTTTCATAGTATAGCAATATTTACAATAACACATTGGCTCTTTGGATTAAATATACTGCTACACTCTTTAATACACACTTTGCCTTCTATCTCCTCATTTGTTCTCTACCCATTCCTCCCTTCCTTCTCCCTTCTTTTTATTATTTCTTTCTTTTTTCTTTTTATTATTCTATCTGGAAGTGAAACTGACTTATAAGACTTATGTTCTTTATTCATATGACAGAGGTTAAAATATTTCCTTAAAATATAGAAATCCTAAATTATATATATTTATATATAATAGCATGGCCTATTAATATTTTTACTTTTTGCATTGCATTATTCTCTTTAGTATTTGTAAGAGTGCTTTGAAATTATATAGAAATAAAAATAAGATTCCAGTGGACAATAATCAAAACTTATTTATTATAGACCATTGCCGTGGTATAATACGAATTGTTAAACATATTACAAAAGAAATATCTGCCAATGCTATCCTTAGCTGCATACATTAATGAGTACACAATAGAGTACAATGCCCTAGCCATATAAATAGTAAACTATATAAATCCAGTTATTTATTGAATGTACACAATATATACTACACTCCAGTCTAATTAATAATAATTTGGGTTTTATAATATATATGTGCTTATAAAAATTGCAATAGAGGTACCGTCTACTTATTTTAGTGCTTTCTTGTTCATATAGTAATTGGATTGATTGAAGAACCTCCAGGAACTACAGACGTAGCACAGCTTTGAAAATGTTTTTTTATTCTTTCGTATTTTTCTACACTTTCTGTATTCGTCTCTAAACCGAGCGCGCGTTTTTCTGCCTCAAGAACCATCAAAATACGATTAAAGTCCATTCCTCTTATACTTGTCATATGCGCTATACACCTACTAGTAATCTTCAATGGATCTATGTTTGTATATAGATGATAAATTACTTCTAAATTATATGGGGTATTTATGCATGCATATGATAGCCATAAGAAACAAATCGCATCTAACACATTATTATGATCTATTCTGGATGATTTTATACGCTGTAATGTCCATGTTAATGTTACAAGCTTATACTTTTTAACTAGGTTAATGCACATTATTTCAAATGACCTATATGATTCAAATATGCCAAATAATTCCCTATTGAAAATAGCATGTACTAATATACATTGGAAAGAGTTTTGAAAGGACTCCTCTGTTTCACTTATATCTATTAAAACACTTAGTGCGTTTCTGACATCAACAACTCCAAACTCTGATATGGGAAGATTATCTGTATTATATTCAATGCTTGGAAAGTATTCTTTATGGTTACAATTGCATATAAATGGGGTTAGTAAAATCATCTTTCTTTCTCTTGGATTATCAAGACGAACACTCCCTATAATATTTGATGTAATCCGTAATATTTGATTGCTCTTTGTCAATTTTTTTATATTACTATATATTAAACGATAATTTATAATTGACATTTTATACAATAGAGAGTTTATACGCCCACATAAGAAAATATAGTTTGGCGTCGACCTCATTTGATCTAGCATGCCAACAACTGCACTGTAGTTTTGAGCTGGCAGTTTTTTATTAAGCCGTTCTATGCTATTATTTAAATAATTCCAAATAGTTATTTTAATATGGCTTTTTGCAGAATTATATATTCTTTGCATATCCATTAGCTCATTTTTTGCATCTTCTGAAAAGGCACTGAAATCAGACACAAGAGAAAATTTAGAATACTTAGACAAAATGTCTAGTTTTATACTTTCTTTTTTACCCTTAGCCTCAAAACCGAGTACAATGCTTCCAAACATACCAAACATCAGATTCTCAGTAGGTAAGTATTCTAGTTCTGATGATTCAATACTGATTTTGTGACTAGTGGCGAGACAAGTAAGAATATTTAAAAATAATTCTTTTATGCTCTCTACTCTTTCTGCCCTTCTATTGTGTGAACTGTTAATTGTACCTTCTATAGCAGCTCTTATATTAATATTTTCACCAAACAGCTCATATATCACATATATAATGTTCTCTAGCCCACCACACAGCTCTGTTCTACTCTCTCTTACATACCTAATGTTTGGATTGCTCAACCTTGATACAACTCTGCACCAGTCTCTGTGTTTTTCCTGGCTTGCACTCTCTGTGGGTACTGAATATTTATTAAAAAATACTTTTAGTGCTGTAGAGGCACCAGGTATACGCTCAGTTGAACATACATTGGTTTCTGGGTTGTATGTAAGACACGTGAACAGATTCAAAAGCATTGTCTCCACATGGTCACTGTACTGTAATGCCTCGTCTTGTACAAAGTCCTCTATGCTCTCTGGATTGTATTCATTCTCTGGCACACGGGTGTAGGAAGGTACCATTTCTATACTTGTGAAGGGAAGAATTGAAGATCTGTCTATTTTATATTTTAGGTTGCAAATATCAATAATATGATTTCGGCGCATATTCCTATATAAGCCGTTCTTATCTATAAAGTAATAATCTATAATTTCCTTAATCAATTTTTTTTGTTGCTCTGATGTTTT